ATATGTATGTAACAACAATAAAAAAATAATAATAATAATAATAATAATAATAATAATAATAATAATAATAATAATAATAAATCATAATAAAGAAGATAATGATAAGAACATATATATATATATATATATATATAAAGGAGTATTAATTGAATAAGGATAAAAATAAATCACTATCCCCACTAGTAAATGTCTTCTACACAGAGCCACCCACTTAAAGATAAAATAAACAAATGAATAAAAACAAAACAAAAAGATAAAAAAAACATCTTCTAGGAAGACTCAATTTCATTATACCCAGCAGTTAAAATAAGGGATCGCAACATCTTGCAGAGATTCTCGGCATCTTGAAGTGCACAATGTATATGGTATGATTCCATTTCCCCACCACTTAACACTTCCCCAAGTTTACTGTGGTACCAACAAGTGGTTGTTGATGAAATATCAACGGTAGAAAGAAGAGAAGAAGAAAGAGAAGAAGAAATAATATCTTCCTCCACCTTTTCTTCACTCCTATAGAGATGTAGCACCTTTTTTACAGCCTCAATATCAAAACAATGAATTTCTTCTTTATCTGGTATACGAATATCACTTCCTTCTGCCAAACGTGCCGCCCCAAAAATCCATCTTATAGCATTAAGATCCATACAACTTCCTTTGTTTACAAACACGACATTTTCAGCTTTTAAGTACCATTCAATCTCTCTCGCTAAAGCCGTGTAATCATTACGAAGAAAAACGGCATTACGAAATGGGATACAGTGATTTCCCTTTTCAATACCACAACTTAACCTACACGCCGTTACAACATCTTTTACTTCACCAGGGTGAATAAAAGCATGAAATGGTTTCCATTTCTCTGATATTTTAAGAGGAACCAATGCAATTTCAAGTGGAAGTGGAACTGCACCGCGTAGAACAACTGCAGCCTCTACATCCAAAGCAATAAAAATAACTTTATCCAATCCTCCCATACTTTCAATGTAATTTGCAAGTAACTGAACATCATGCATTCTCTTCGTCAATTGTCGAGTTATGGATGGTGGTTTTGGAGGTATTGAAAAAGGATTTGAGCCGCCACCGCCACTTTTCCCTGAACGTTTCGGTTTTGAAAACATTACCCGATCTTCCTCTGTTGCGATACGATAAGAAGGATACTTTTTTTTTATATATGAAACCATATCTGGATCACAGGAAAGCAATAATGCCCAACCTGTGGGTTCGCTATCTATGTAACCCACGATAAAATCAATTTCAGGAAATTGATCTATATGTTGTTCTCGTAATTCTTTACGATTTATTAATAGATCAACTGGAATAAGTATAGAATCATTAGGATATTTATCAAGAAATCTAGTTGCAACAGATGGTTTTAACACAACTGTATCCCCATCTAAGGAAGGCAACATCTCTGTGGTTGTTTTATTATTTTTTGTTGAGAGTTCCACATCTTGAACAAGATTCGTATTCGTTACAGTTTTACTCTCTTTATTATCATCAAGGTTAGTCGTTTTTTCTTCTTCCTCATCATTTTTATATTCCATTTCTTCTTCTTCTTCTAATACGGCTGAGAGATCAATCTCTACTTCAGGGTTCACACAGTACTGATCTGAGAAAACTCGCTGAAAGGGACCGGATGGATCTTCAAAGAAGAAAAAAAATGCCTGTTCCGCGGCAAAGATATCATCTCCCATTCGATCCATCATATCCTCCACCACATTTTGGGATTCATCCTCATCAGAAGCATCCGAAGAAGTTTCCTCAAAGACACTCACCACAGAGCTGCTATCAGAATACAACATATCTGAAAGATATTAAGGACGAACGAAAAATAAAAAATAAAATATTTTTTTTCTCCTTGTACTTTTTATTTATTTTTACTTTTTTTTACCCTTTCACAGTTACACACACACACAGAGAAACAAAAGAAAGAAGAACATGAACGATAGAATAGGAAAGGGAAAAAAAAAAAAACATCAAAAGTTTTTCTGTACCATTAATAAATTAATGGCATCTAGAATAATATTAATATAAATATTCGCCTACACGAACGCAGGGAGAGAGAGAAATATATATAAAGAAAACAAAAGGGGAAAACAACGAAAGAAAAAAAAAAAACTTAGGGTCTACGCCTTTTCGTTCACAACAGCAGCAGTATCCCTATTATCAAGCAATGACACAACAGCTAAAAGTTTCTCTGTTTGTTTCTTGCATGTATTAATCTTTTCTTCAAGAGCCTCCACTTTTGCATGTTCTTTATCGCGTTCTAGTTTACTTTTCTCAGCTCTTGATACCAACAGTTGCCTGTCGCTTTCTAGTGATCGAATTCGGCGAATTTGTCGCTCTTTTTCATCCTTAGCACTCTCAAAAGTTTCCCGTGCCTTTAACAAACGTTGTTGAACCTCTGACAAGTGATTTACCCATTTATCCACCTCTTCCTGCAATGCCGCACGGGCTTTCACAGCTTTTTCCAACTCTTTCGTTTCTTCTTCTATTTCCTGCATTAACTGCGGCTTACGTTCCAGTGCCGCATCTCGCTTCGCCGCAATCTTATCATACTCCGCCTCCCGCGCTTGCATAATCTCATGATATTTATCCTCGCCGGTGCTGTGAAACTTTGCGTATATCTCAAGTTGCTCCTTCAGCGAGCTGTTTTCATGCCGCGCCTTTGCCTCCAACTGCGTGATTTCCTCCGAGTACGCATTCACGGCGTCTATGGCGATGCGGAGTTTCTCCGACAACTTCGCCCGCTCCTCCTCGTCGCTGCGGCAGGCCTCTTCGTACTTTGACTGCGCGGCGCGTTGCAGCTCGTCGAGGGAGACCCGCACGGCCTCCACGCGCTGCAGTTGTGCCTGCGCCTCCTCCCGCCGCGACTGCAGGGCGGCCCGCAGCGCCTCCTTCTCCCGCAGGGCCGCCGTCTCGCGGGCCAACGCCGCCTCCCGCTGCCGCCGCCGCAGCGTCTGCTGCACAAACCGCTCCGCAAGAGATGACATGTCTGCTAGTCTTTATTAGTAAACACCCACGCACTCAGTCACTCAGTCACGCACTCACTCACCCAATGAGGTCCACACACCAAGCTCTCTCTTCTCTTCTCTTCTTTTCTCTTCTCGTGTCTTGTGAGGAAAGAAAATAGAGAGATAAAAAAAGGATGCAAATTTCATCAGGAGGAAAATAAGGGTTATTATTACAAGTAAGAGGTTGACATAGAGAAAGAGATAACATACATTAGGGAACAATAATAATATGATCAACAAGAAGAAAAAAAAAAAAAAAAAAAAAAAAACAAAGAAAATAACACGTAAGAAAAAAAAAAAAAAAAAAAAAAACAATTTTTTTTTTTTCCAAAAATCAAAAGTGAAAAAAAAAAAGAAAACACATCAACAGAAAAACAAATAAATAATAAATAACTCAAGAAGATAGTTTTCACATGCGTTCGTAGATTCATTCTCCATTACGGTTGATATGAATAGGAGTTGTACGTCAAACTGCTTGTAATAAATTTGCAGGTTTTTTTTTATTTTATTTTTCTACTTGTTCCTTCTCTATTTTTTTTTTCTTTTTTAATGATGGAAAAGGAATAATAAATAAAATAAAAAACCCATAATATATTATTTCTTCTAAAGAGTACTACTCTTTAAATAACCACACTTTCTATGAACAATATTGTTTCATCCTTGGTTGAAAAGTTCATTTATCATTGCCTCAGACAACATACATACATTATTCTAATAAGATATATAAGTAAAACAGAAAGATAGAAGCAAATGCTCTTCTTTTGTTTTTTTTTTTTTTCCCTCCATTCCCTAAAACTATTTTCTTTTTTTTTTTTTTATAAAAAAAAAAATAAATAAATAAAATAAACAAGATAAATCAGTCTTTCTGTGGAATGTACGCTTGATTGAAGGGAATAAAGCGTTTTGCACCTATTCCGTACCCGAAAAGAGCAATGATAATTGCAAGACCCATCAATCCTGAACTTTGAAGTAAATTAAAGGAATCATCTACGAGATTCTGACAAGATGGATTTATTGACGGTATGAGATCAGAGAGTAGAGCATCACAACTTGATATTTGACCCCATACAGTGTCTACCACATACCGTGATGAAGCCACACCGTTAAAATCGTACAGTGCACGCTTACTAAACTTTCCAACTTCACTTAACACACCATTTACTGTACACGAGGTTGCACAGGTTGATAAATCACATAACTGTCCAGGGGCTGAAGTACAAGTATATCCCTGTGCAGCCGCAGTCGCATTTGCAGAGGGATCATTTATAATATCCGGTGCTGTGTAAAGTGAAGTTCGTAGCCATGATAACAACATGTTGTCTTTCAGTGTTGTACAGGGCATACTTACTGGACAGTCAAAAACTTGTTTTAGGCCCAAATTAAAAGAAGGTGTCATGGTTTTATCATAACAATATGGCTTTAGTTCGGTACATATATTTTGTGATTCATTATAAAGAATAGTGTTTAAATTACCGAGGGTGTTACTAAAATTTTCTTCAGTACATTCTGAAATTGCCTTGAGAACATTCGTTCGTCGGTTTGTGAATTCAGAAACTTCAAAACAACTCTCTTTCATTAAAAACGAGGAAGCAGCATAGAAACCATTGGAAGCCCATACAAGACAACCAAGGATTGCCATGAGCCAAAGAATACACATAGACGCGTATCGGCGATAACTCAATACTGCAATTATAACTCCACAAAAAGAAACCATTGTGGGAATAATAAATATAATATATGCGACCCATTTGTATGATTGAAATAATTCAATAAGCCAAATAAAATTATCCTTTACCATATTGGAAAAATAATTCTCTACATTCGTCATGGATGATATAATAACTTCACCATTTACACTTGATTTAATAAGTGAAACATTATATGTGGTATCAGTAACAGGATCATATTTCATTACATTCATACCATTAATAATTCCAGCGGTTAAATCCTCTACTTTTCCTATTGAAGAGCTTGTAATACTTTTTATTTCACTTAAATGTGAGCTCATATGAGTTTGTGAAACACAACCCCAAATACAGGCTGCCAAACTCATAAGGAAAGAAATCACCACCAGAATAAATGGACGAAGAAGATCACTTTTACTATACTTTGCTGGATATCCCTTTAATGGAAAGCAAAAATTAGGAGATTGTTTCCTACCACCACAGCAATTAAATATGTACTTACAAATACCGTAAACTATAGTGGCAATAATCATAACGGCAGCCACAACAAGACCAGGAGCACTATAGACGAGAAGCGTTATCTTATAACTCTCACGGTCACAGTCAATCAGTGATTCGGCGTACTTGTTGCAGTTCATTACTCGTCTCTTTCCCTGTGAGTATTGCATCACTGGCAGATCTGCCGATGCTTCCAACGCCAAGAAGGAAATAAGAAGCGAGATAAGCAACAACAGGGTAAAGTGAATCATTTTTTGTTTTTTTTTAATGAAATAATCTCAGAGAATAATAATGAAAAACCACCTAAGACCAACACCAACAACAAAAAATAAATCTAATTGTGTAATACATATATATATATATATATATATATATATATATATATATTATTTATTAGGGACTAGCTTCTACTAACACAGAGAGAAAAAAGAAAAAAGAAAATAGTACAACAATGAGAAAGCAAGGTAAAGAAAAATAAAAGTGTGAAAACGCCTTTTGATACAAATAATAACCAAAACCATTAACAAGATTAAAACAAACAAACACACACACACACACGCAAAATTACATAAATCTGACAAATGGCACAGAAGACGGTGATAAAAATAAAGAAGAAGAAATAAGAAACAATAACAAAAAAAAAAGACAGTAATTGCAGCAAATAATATATATATATATATATATATATATATATATATATATTTATCAGAATAGCACTAACAATAATAATAAAATGGCAGAGAAAATGAAGTAAGTAAATTTTTTTTTTTCCCCCATTGCACTTTTCACTCATCACGTAAATCTTCAATGAATTTTTTAAAAACGCTTCCATCACGATGCGAAATTTCATTTAGGGGAAGGGAGACTAACCTCTTGGGATCTTCTGTCGAATCAAACATATAAAGCATAACATTTCCCCCATGTGCCTCATGAACATCTCGAGTTACTTTACGCAACATATTTTCACATACTCCACATGGAAAGAGTGGATTTGGATCCTTTTGTATTCCCTTGTTTTCACCATGTACAAACACCTCTCGTACTGCATTTGTTGGTAAACCCATGGAAGCAAGCTTACCCATTGCATTTTGCTCTGAACACCGTGACCCACTTGGAGTGCTGAGCTCATAATTTACAGCAATAACAAATGATCGTGGACAACTGCACCAGGAATTCTCTGGGTACTTCTCGGTACCTTTTTGTGGAAGGTGGTGTCGGACAAAGGACCCACGTGATAGAAATCCTTCATTAGAACGACAGGAACACTCCGCCGGGTCCACATAGGTAATAAGAGATGTTACTACTGGTCGTTGAGGATCTTTTTTTCGCCAACTTACATGTGCATTTTCGTGTCGAAAGGAGAGAATAATAGGGGTAACAAAAGAAAGAAAAGAACCTTCCTTTTCCTTCTTTAAATCAATCACATCGTAATCACTGTCTGGTTGAAACCTGCTTCGTATCTGTTCACATGCTGACTGTACTTTTAGTGGGAGGGGCAGGGCGTAGAAGAGTCTTGCTGGGAGTTTTATGAGCGAGCCGACGGTGGTGAGGGGCGGTGGGAGGGGGACGGGGAGGGGGACGTCCGGGAACGTCGCGAGGACCGCCTCGAGGGGAAATTTCGGCTGCAGGACCCGCACGGTGGAGATGTTCAGCCAATGCGGGAGCCAACAGGCATCGCAGCGGCTCACGAGAGCATCAAAGGCGTTATCGCTGAGCTGCTGCACGTCCCCCACCGTCCGCAGGCCCATCTCCTCCAGCAGGTGCAGAAAGGTGGGGAGGTCCTTCTCCGCCTTGAGGTGATTCCGCAGCGGCATCCCAGCCGATATGGATATCATCTCCCCACGACAGATATTCGCATGTACAAAGAGGCAACGGGATCCATAACGGCAACGATCATTATATCGACAAAGAGAAGGTTGTACAGCGTCAAGGACATGTTCATGTAATAATCCACATGCAAATAAAAAACCAGCAGTAGGACGTATCTCTTTAATATTCACACAATAAACTGAAAATTGACTTGAAACATAAAATTTTTCATAATCAAAAGAACTTAATTCCAAGTACCAGGGATTTTTCTTTAATAGATGAATCTTACTACAATTACAATTTTCACCTTTAAAACTCTTGTTACATAACACAAAACAATACCGTATCTTTCCAATCATTTGTTTTAGTGGTGGTGTTGAAACATCCACTTTTCTAAAGAGTAAATAACGCGGAGTTGCAACCAAAAGAGGCTTCGTGGTAAGATCCAAGGAAGACATATTACATGCATCAGCCCCGATATTAGTTGAAGGGAGTGTAACTCCAGGAGGGAGAGGTGTTGATGTTGATGATGATCTCATCACAGAGTTATCCTTCTGAGGTGTATTAGGTGTCGTCCATGAAGACTCCGTAAATGCACCATTACTTACACAACCATCTATAGGTGAAGTATTCTGATCATCATATAAGGCTAACACTACGTAGTGAAGTGTTTTGGCAGCCTCTACAATTGGTAAGTATGCCGTGTAAAATCGAAGAGAAGTCCATAAATGCTCCCTGGAAATGGGCATATGACTCCAGTAATAATAATAATAATTATTATTATTATTATTAACTAGTATTACACGAAAAAAGGAATTATCAGATGTCTCCCTCTATTTGTTTTGTTTTGTTATTGTGTTCACGTATATATATATATATATACAAGGGTATATTTGTAATGTTGAATTCCAAGAAAATATTAAATGACGTATATATTTTGCTTTTACCTCCCTCCTTGTTGTATAATATTTATCCATAGCAGCACAAAACCATATATATATTTATTTAAAAAAAAAAATAAGGGAAAATGAGAAAAACGAGAAGTAAATAAATTAAATTAATAAAAGTGAATGACCAGATACATAGATACATTAAGAAAAAAAAAAAGAAAGAAGTAAAATATATCAGAGAGAAAGAAAAAGAAATGAGTTACACAGCTACCACACGCAGAAAAATAAAATATGGTCGAAAGATAGGTCATAATAATTGACGACGGTGAATCAAAAATAAATAAATAAAAAACTACAGAAATGCCTATTTCCTTTTTTTTTTTTTTTTTATTCCTTTGTAATTTATTTTTATCTTTTTTTTTT